TACATGGGAAACGTTCATGGTAGACCGGGTTCGAATCCTGGCTAGACCGAAAATTATTTTCGGTCAGATATTTAGTGGCTGTCTAGGGTAAAGTGCAAATTACTAAAACTACAACAACAAAAACACCTCAGGGTATTATAAGCGGGCGTTATAGATCATAACGCCCGCAAAAGCGGGCGTTATGAATCAGGTTGTTATAGGTATGTTAACGTATTCCGTTTCCTAGGTATTATGGATCTATAATAGTTAAGTAGAAAATAAATATAATTAAGGAACATTTTAAATTTATTTCCAACTATACTGTTATTTCCAGAGACACCTTGACTGACTTGATTACTTACTGTTTTGACACCAGTTATTTCTCTTATGAACAAAATATCTATCTACAAAAGGATGGATCTGCAATGGGCAATCCAGTCTCACCAATCTTGGCTAACTTGGTAATGAACCACCTCATAACAGAAGTTTTAAAAAAACTACCATTCCCCATTCCCTTTATATATTTATATGTGGATGATACAATATTGTCAATACCCAAGAATGAACTGAATCTGACACTAGATACTTTCAATAAATTTCACCAATCACTCCAGTTCACCAACGAGATAGAGACTGATAATAAGCTGTGCTTCCTGGACATGGAAATCCACCACAAACCTAATGGTACCTTGCTGACAAATTGGTATTCTAAACCCACTAGTTCAGGTAGAATTCTCAACTACCTATCCAACCACCCAACATCCAATAAAGTAGGCATAATAAGTGGGCTTCTACATAGAGCTCTTGATTTGAGTGACCCTGAATTTCACAAGGCAAATATTGAAAAAATAAAGAAAATCCTATCAAATAATAATTATCCATTGAATTTTATTAACAGAAGCATAGAAAGATTTAAAAACAAAACCTGTAACCCTATGAAAAAAGAGACCAAATATTTCAAGTTTCCCTTTATAGATGGCCTTTCGCAAAAAATTGGGAAATGCTTTCAGAAATCTGAAGTCTCAATAGCCTTCTACAACCTCAAAACCACAAATTCTCTGTTCACACATATCAAAGATAAGGTACCCCAGGGTAAAAAGAGCTCTTTGGTCTACAAAATCCCATGTGAATGTGGAAAGTGCTACATAGGTGAAACGATGCAATATCTGGATAAAAGAATACAACAACACAAGAATGATTGTCACATTAACAAAAAATACAATGAAGATAAAACAGCATTAGCAAAACACCGTTTTGAAACAGGCCATAGCTTTAAAGTTTGGTGAGGTGCAAGTTGTTGATTCGGAAACATAAACATATAAACGAAAACTGAGTGAATTGATCCACATAAACCTAAATGACACAGTGAATATAAAGACCGATACAGATGGTCTGAGTGGTGTATATAGCAATATCCTTCAAATTTACAAGAGAAAGATGAACTAAATATAATTATGCGTGTGGATATGTAACTCTAGAAACATCTGGGGGTTGTTAGTGGTACTTAACACCGTTCAACAAATAATTTATTATAAATGTTGTTTTTGTTTGCTTTTTAGAAGTTTTTTTCCGTATATGTTTTTTTCTGTTTTACACATTTTTAAATCTTTTTTTATATTTTGTGTCTTTTACATTTGTATCTGTGATTTTTTAACTTTTGTAATTTTTTATTTTTATTCTGAGTATCAGGTTGTATTTTATATATAAGCAAATGTATCGAATGCACACTTGAATCCTTTGATATGGAGTACCTACACTGCTGAACTAGAGTACCATAGTGGCCAGCCAATGTAAAACGCTACCTTGTTTTAACAACAGCATAAAAGAACAGAACCCAACTTTTGTTTTGTCAAATTTAAATTAAATACAAAAGGAAAAGAAAAATAATAATAGGAAATGATAATAATCCAATAATCGTCAATTATTGGCCTATAAATCAGAATTTGTCACTATCTAAATGGTGATCATGTATTGTGTATTATGCTTTTCTCCTGGCTGCATCAGGGGCTCTGGAGACATCGGTTTGAGTAAGTACTCCTGAGCAATGACTAATTTTATTTTAATTTATTTTGACAAGATCGTTGATTGTATATCTATCATTTTAATGTTTCTTACTATGTCGTTTCATGTGCCTTATTTCTCCTGTTCGAGGGCTTGAAAAAGGAAAAATAAAGTTCCGAAACGTCGCCGAAAGCTAAGTAGTTTCTTTTGGTTACCTCCCCGTCCTTAAACCCAAGAAATTTCCACCATAATTAATAATAGGGACTCGAAATGAATATAATTATTCTTATTTCTTTTTTTTTCCCTTTTCTGCTTGGTCATATCATCATTTATAGAAACTCTTTCTCCTCTCATTTCCTTTATTTTTGTTTAATTTTCTATGATTTTTCTCTTATCCACTTCATTTTGTAGTTCTATTATCCACGTTCTCTCTGCTATCCTGGTAACTGTTTTAGGTATAACATTAACTTTTAATTGTTGGTTCAAAAATGTCTTCACATCTTCTACTAGTAGGTATTGCCGGCTCATTGTTATCAAATTTTAATCCATTCATCACTACATTATTTAGGATTATACAAACGATAAACGATAATTTGTTGAGTTTTTGTCATACCCAACAAATATCATTTTATGACTTTTTGGCTCTAGTTTTTTTCGTTTTTAATCTGGTGTAGTGGTAGTAGCATGTCCCAAGTCTTGAAACAGCGTTCCCAGGAGAACGAGTGTTCCGTCTTTCCCAGTGATGCAACTGATAATATAGGTAAGTAACAAAGACGGAACACTTGCTCTCCTGGGAACGCTGCTCCCGTGTTTTAAGAATTAGATAACTGCTTAGAAGGTGCTCGATTCAGATTATTGCAGTACTTCCTGCTTCTGCCCAGAGATAGTGAGGTGCATTTGCACTAATAAGCATTGACCTGACTCTCTCTATGATGGTACGGTTTTCTCTCTCACATCGACCATTCTGCTCCGGGGTATAGGGTGCAATATTTTCTAGTTCAATGCCTTCTTTGTTCATGTAAGTTTCCAGCTCTTTGTTTATATATTCATCACCATTATCGACGTGCAATGCATTCACTGACTACTGAGTATCCAAATTTTGTTTTGATTGAACTATTAAACTGAACAAAGTACTCATACGTATAGGTTTTTTATGTTATATTTGATGACGTCATCGAACAAGGACGACGACGCCGTTGCCAACCAAATCATCTGAAATTCCCCTACTTCATAAGCGTTTAAAAGTACTTTTAGTTTTGTTAGGTTGGCATCAGAAATTTACTAAATGTGACGTCATCCTAAATATACTCTATATCACTTTTGTGCTTCATAAAATAAGCTACCCGGTAACCTGTGTAGCTGTCGTTGCAATTGGTAAATACACCATTTCCAACAGTATTTGAGAAAACTTTGATTGTATTTTAGAATAGTAATTTGTATTTAAGAAATCCCGTAATCCCCCATATGAATAATGGAATAAATTTCTTGAATACAATATAAATGACTATATTCTAAAATACAATTGAAACTTTATAAAATACTGTTGGAAATGGTGTAATTGTCCAGGAGTCGTATTGACTTCTTGAGACTTTTTCTGTGCTGTCAAATTCATTCATTTTTATACCTTCTACTATGTTTTTAGTGATCATGTCTTGTAAATACTGCTTTTTGATATGCCCAAGCCTCTCATGCCAGTTTTTCAATGAGTCGCTAACTTCTTCGGCAACACTAACTTCACTCTGGTTGCCCTCTGTACGAATAAGCATTTTATACAGGTTATTCGATTCTTACAGAATGACACTGGCTACTAGGTCTTCTTCTTTATAAATTCTTGCAGTATTACCTTCTTTGATTATTGTCATCTTCCTATTTGTCAGGACATTCTCTGTCTATCAATTTCTGAATCTTCACTGTCCCTTTTCCTCTTACTTCTAGGCACTTACTGTTTCCTAGTTACACAAAAAAAGAACTCTTCAACTCCTCCAATTCAGAAAAATAATCCCTTCTCTAACTCATGTGCGCAGAGGCAACACTGTTTAAAATCCAATCTCATTTTTCTTGGTGTGTTCATCATTTTTCTTATCGCCCCTGTCTGTTTGGGAGCCCTGCAGGCTTTAATCATAATTTCCACGTTTTTGACAGTCAAAACTGAATGGAAGCCTTTTACTTTTTGCTTCGTTTTTTTTCTGCATTCGATGTGCTTTTCTTTCTGTTCAAGTTCATGGCTGCTAAAGCCTATTGCTCTTCGATTGCTGTAAGACTCTATTCCTCGTCTAAAAGTCTGGGCTGTCAGGTTCTTTACATTCTGCTTCGTCCATTGACAATCAAGCTTGTCTAATGTTTCGGTATTTAAGTTGCAGCGTGTTCAAAACTTTTGTGATTATGGCAGTTTCACTAACCGTATCACCACAGTCTTTGATTTGTTGTGGCAGGTTCTCAATTTTTTCTACGTGCTTTGCCACTGAATCACCAGGATCCATCTTGTATTGATGAATTTTTCATGTGCCATAAGTTTGTTAACCTCTGACCTCTGTCTATAAATAGAGTCTAACATTTCCTTCATGTCTTTCGAGGTTTGGCAATTTTCTATCAAGATAATCTGCTCGAAATCCATGGCTAATGATATTATAAACATTGCTCATGCGTCTTTTTTATACTATGTTAAAAGCTCGTCCGCTTGAATAGCAGCTGGTTTCGCAGTTGACCCATCAACCAATCCATACAGCCCTTTAACCTAGTTTTTGCTAGCGAATTTGGTAATATTTCCGAGATTGGTTCTGTCTACAATTTTTCAAGAAATTTTCACAGTAGCCGATTCTTTTAATTACTTCTCCCAGGAACTCTGGGCCCATAACTTGTTAGAGGTCTTGCTTGCAGTGGATTGGAAGGATAACACACTTGATTGAACTACAGTTTCGTGACACCCTATTCTTGATTGTGAACTAGGTCCCTGTTCTTGACTACACGAAAAACAATATTTACAACATAAGACGAATACCTAATAACGAGTTTGGGTTTAGGAATGATTAATAAAACAAGTGGGAAAATTATAATCAATGGTGTGGAAGTGAGATCCAGATCCGACATTACCAAATCTGTCGGTCTTTGTCCGCAAGATAACATGTTTTTCGAGTCTTTGACCGTGATGGAGCACTTGCTGATTTTCGCAACTGTAAATTCCGCTTTATTTTATTTAAACTATTCACTATTTTTTTTTTTTCCTTAAAAGTTGAAAGGACAAAAAGAAGAGGAGAGCAAACGCGAAATACAAGAGCTTCTAGTCAAATTAAATATGGAAGGCAAAGAGAAATCCAAGGTATCTCAGCTATCTGGCGGCATGCAAAGGAAAGTAAGCCTCGGAATGGCCCTTGTAGGTGGATCACAGGTATGGAACGAGTTAAATATTACGATTATTACGTCTTTTTTAGCGAATAGCTAGGTACCTACTTATCAGATTTTTGAACTATTTTTGTCATTAACGGGCCTGGAATGGAATACTGACGAAAGCTAATAAGCTCGAAACAGGCTTGCAATTAGCTCCAATACCCATCGATTGATAATTCGGGTTCTCCATTGCCTTATAGAGCAAAACCATACAATTTGACCATGTAATTAGCAGTGTGTTAGAGCTCCGGTTAAACACTTACGTGTTTTCCCAAAGATATTTTTCATCGACTCTTTTATTTATAGAACAACTGAAAGCTATTGAGAGGAACAATAATAGGGGCAAATTAGCTTTTGACAGAGAGCTTCATTTTTCTCTTGAAGTTGTTGAGCCAACTCAGACAAATTCCTAACTTACTTATTTTGTAAATTTCAAATCTATGCAGATAATTTCTCTCAGCTTGTAAAGTACCTATTCGCAATTGACATGAGCATTCCAAGAAAACACAAAATCATCAATTTTTGATAGTAGATATTGTCGTGTTTGAACCAGGTTTCGAAATGCGGATTGCGGAGTAAAATTTCAATATTTAAAATAATAATTGCCTTCCAAAATCTAGTCTATAGCTGAGCATCAGCTGAGAGAAAAGTGGACTGTATTTTGCGGTTTCAAAATTACGGGTACAATTGAGATCTTACCTAAACCAGTTTACAGCTGCGCGTTGCGGTTGAACTTGCTCGATCACGGTTCGCGAATACCACGATGGCCGGCCGGCAGGTTATTTGCGGTATGGTTGAGTGCGAGCAAAATTGGTCGAGAACGGAGGAGGACTTCTAATCGCGACCATTACCAAAAATGCACGGGTTTTTAATTTCCAACGCGTCGCGTCGAATTGTCGTAGGATTCTTCCACGCATATATGAGGGCAATGCGTTAAGTAGATAAAGACCTCAAATATTCAAGAACGCGAAAATAATCTGAAGGGTGAATCGTGGATTAAAAGTTTACTCCAAATTCAAAGTATGTACTTCAATAAATAATTGGCAAAATAAACAAAACAACAATAATTCATTGAAGGACAATCTTAGCAATTTAATACAAATAACTTACATTTAGTCCCACTTTATGTACGGAGGAAAAAAATCAAATGTCTTACTCATTAGATTCTGATCCTGGATGAGCCATCTTCGGGAATGGATATAGAATCACGCAGAGATCTCTTCGATATGCTGCATAAGTGGAGAAATGAAAAAACTATTCTGATCACCACGCATTCGATGGAAGAAGCCGATGCGCTTGGTGACTGGATCGCCATAATGAACGAAGGAGAGCTGGTATGCTTCGGTACACCAATGTTTTTGAAAAAGAAATACGGTGAGTATTGAGCAATTTCAACATTTTGTGCCGTTTCTTTTCTAATCAGAACTTTTCAGAAACCGGCTCCACATTAATTCTGCTAATTAAAAAAAACAGAAACGTGAAACAAGCAGTTCAAAAAATCGAATATCTTTTAAGAAATGATTTCAACTTTAAGACGGCGAAATGCAAAGGTATTAATGGCAACGAAACGCGATTTTTTCTACCGGCTGGTAATTACATCAAGCTGTTCGAGTATCTCGAACCAAACAAGGGCCAATATGACATTGAGAATATTTCATTTACCAGCACCACGCTTGAAGATGTATTTTTAAAGTGAGAAAAACCCTAATAATAATAATAATAATAATAATAATAATAATAATAATAATAATTGGATCGATTCAAATTTTCTTTGCTCAATAGTCTAATGTTTTGTTGTAAAATTTTTTAGCCCCAAAGTGACTCAGCAGGAAGAGGAAACAGAACAAAGTCGAAACCAATTCGAAACCGTTGAACGGCTAGAAAGTGAGTATTTTAATTTCGTATTAGCTTATCACCATCCTATAGTCTTTATCACATATTCCCTCTAAACCACTGTGTCGTTTTCTAAACTTCATTCCATAATCCCTTGTTCTACTAAGGTAACGTAAATGTATTTTCCTAAAGGAAAGAGTGAAAAGTTTGATACCTACACTACAGGCTGCAAAAGCCCTTTTAGGTGCTCGGAGGTATTCAAATAAAACTCGCATCTGAAAGCAGTGTCGCATTCGGAGTATAGGTCTGGGGGGGGGGGGGGGGTGGAGGGGGTTAAACAAAAATCCAATACACGCTTACTTAGCGCCGGACGCAGCTTCCCGCAGGCTCCCCAAAAATTTTTTGGGGGGTGTCACGCCCAAATTATTACCCATAATTCAGTTTACATAGTTTACAATCCAAAAATCGATGTTGAGAAAACATCGATGTTTTTTATCATCAATATTTTCTTAACGTCGATATCAGCTTTCGATGTTTAATCGATATCAAAACATCGATGTTTTATCGATAACGAAACATCGATGTTTTCAGTTGGATGGGCATCCCTAGTTGTTAGATGTAGGGTAGGTAAGACTGGTAAGAGCCGAATTTATAGTCGTTCCTTGGGTCTTCCTTGAAAAATTTTTGAAGGGGGGGAAAACATAAAAAACGCAATAGACGCTTTAAGCAGGTCCTGAATTTCAAACGTATCCGTATCCGCATGGATCTGCGCATGCGCAGAATGGATACAATGGTTGCGTTGCGTTGCGTTGCGTTACGTTGCGTTGCGTTGCGTTGCGTTGCGTTGCGTTGCGTTGTCCGTATCGTTACGGGCCTATCCTCGTATCCGTATCCGGAAACGTATCTCAGTCATTTGACACTATTGAGAGATCTCCTTATTAAGCCCAGTTTACAATTAACGTAACGTAAAGACGTAATATAAGTTCTAAGCATGCGCACACTAGATTTATTTGCGTCAAATATGTCACCGGAAACGCAACGTATAGGAGATGCCGCCGAGCCACTTTGTAAAGTAAATAGGTATGTCACACGTCTCGTTCGGCGGCGGCGGCGGCGGCGGCGGCGGCGATGATCTCGGTAGTACCGATTAGGTCAAGTTGTACAAGGACAAGGGTATCGACGAGGATGAGAAACGGTCCTCGGAGAACCTCACCGAGGTTAAGAGCAGCCTCATCGATCTCACTGAGTCGGAGGTAAATTGATCAGCTTCAATTTGGTGCAAGAATCGTCGAAATCGGACGAGTAGTTTAGGAACTATGGGTGTAACAATATTTTTGTAACAACACTGGATTTGCTGTAGCAACAAGTCGTTAGTAGGTTTGGGGCAAAATTCAAATTAATTATTCTTGTAGCCACAAGCCACATTTCATTTGTGTAGTAGCACAAGATCAAAATATGTAGCAACACTAAGGAAAAAAATGTAACAACACGTCTTGAGTAAAAGTGAAGCAACATTTGTTTTTGTGTAGCAACAAGTCATTTGTGGGATAGTTATTGCTCAGGGCAGGAGTTTGTTGAATGTCTTATGTAGCAATACGAAAAAAAAGTGTAGCAACAAAATCGTTGGGAGTAGCTTCTAGTTTACAGCAACATTTCAATGAAATTATGTAGCATTATTTTTTAAAAGAAAAAGTCAACACGAGCGAAAGTGTAGCAGCATGTCGTTTAGGGGGTAATTCTTTTTAGTGGGTTGTTAGGGTGAGTTTTATGTAGCAACTCTTGTTATATGAAAATATATTGAATTCGTTTGTAGTGTAGTGAATTTTGCATTTTCCCGGCTTTTGATTGGTTTGGGAGTTTGAATTTTGATTATTCCCTGCCTCTTGATTGGTTTATTTTTGAATTTTCCCGGCTTTCAATTGGTCTAGGAATTCAATTTTTAATCATTCTCGGATCTCGATTGGCATAGAAATTCAAATTTTGAATATTCCCGGCTCTTGATTAACTTCCAAAGCCAGTTTTTGAATTTTCCCAACTCTTAATTGGGCTAAAAATTCAAATTTTAAACTTTCCCGGCTCATAATTGGTTTAGAAATTGAATTTTTGATCATTACCGTCTCTTGATTGGCTTCAAATTTTGAATATTTCCGGCTCTTGATTGGTTTAGAAATTCAAATTTTAAATATTTCCGGCTCTTGATTTACTCCCAAAGTCAATTTTTAAATTTTCCCGGCTCTTAATTGGGTTTATTTACGACTAATGTATAATGTGCGTATTATATTTGTGATTTTGGCAGTATAATGACATATGTTATTCCTCCAGGGATTAATGACGAGTAGCGGGATTAATGGTCATTATTCCACAAAAGTGTCAGTGTCAAACGTGTAGTGCTTGTGGATTTGTATTGAAAATTATGAGACGGATGAAATGTGTTCATTGAAAATCTTAAATAAATTAATTTGTCGTAAATAAAGTAGAGTATACTACTCGCAATAATGGCTATTATTCCCTCGGAATAATAGCTATCATTATTGACTCGTGGTATAATCTACTATTAAACTTCAAATTTTGATTATTCCCGGCTCTTGATTGGCTCTGAAATTTAAATTTTGAATTTTCCCGGCTCTTGATTAGCTCCCAAAATCAATTTTTGAATTTTCCCGACTCTTATTGATTGGGTTCAAGATTCAATTTTGAATATTCCTGGCTCTTTATTGGTTCTGAAATTCAAATTTTGAATATTTGATTGGTTTAGAAATTGAATTTTTTATTATTCCCAGCTTTTGATTGGCTTCAAATTTCGAATATTCCCAATTCTTGATTGGCTAAGAAATTCAAATTTTAAACCCGATCAAGAGCCGAGAATAATCAAAATTTGAATTTTAAACTCAATCAGGAGCCGGGAAAATTCAAAAATTGACTTTGGAAGCCAAACAAGAACAAGGAATATTTAAAATTTTAATTTCTAAGCCTATAGGCCGAGATTATTCAAAATATGAAGCCAATCAAGAGCCGAGAAAATTCAAAAATTAACTTTGGAAGCCAATCAAGAGCCGGGAATATGCAACATTTGAATTTCCAAGCTAATCAAGAGCCAGGAATAATCGATGTCTGAATTTGAACTCAATCAGGAGCTGGGAAAATTTAAAAAATGATTTTGGAATCCAATCAAAATTAAAAGCCAGGAATAATCAAAAATTCAATTTCAAAACCGATCATGAGTCAGGAATATTCAAAATTTGTAGCTAATCATGAATAGGGAATAATCGATAATTCAATTTCTGAACCAATCATGAGTTGGGAATATTCAAAATTTGAATTTCAGGGCCAATCAAGAGTCAGGAATAATCAAAATTTGAATTATTCTCATCTTTTGACGCAAATAAATCAAATATGCGCATGCTTGACTTATGTTACGTCTTTACGGTTACGTTACATCCATTTTGAGATGGGCTTTAGTTATCACTAAAATAACTTGAATAACATGAACCAGCACTTACAGATACAATACAACACTTTTTGAGGTTAGAAAAATCGTTTCATCTAAGGATTCGATCGTTTACGTAATGTATGGCCATGCTTAAAAGGACTTTTAGGCAGTCAACGTAAGTCGATGCGTTTATGGATGCGGATACGGATACGTAGAAAAATTTAGCATTTGCTTAAAGTGTCTAATATCTCGAGAACGGACCCTCTTTGCGAACGAAATATGACGACCGACCCGAGGGCTTTCAGCCCGAGTTTGTGATGTTTTAGCCCCCCCCCCCCCCCCCATTGATGTAGCATATGTTTCAGTTTATTGTGAACTCTACTTCAGATTCTTAGAAGAGTGTAAACTTGCCTTTATGATAGCTTTGTTTTGGTTGGAGAAAAGGACGGTTCTAGAACCGTGGAAAACAATCGCACAGTTTATTATTGGAATTTTTGATAGCCGAGCCGTTGTCATTTTGTTGATTGATGAACTGTGCGATTGTTTTAAACCGTTCTAGAACCGTCATTTCTTCAAACCAAATTTCAATTTCAATTTATTAAATAATCATGTATACAAATTTATAAATTTTTACATTTGTCATTTATCATAGATACTAATTTATCAATTAAACAATTAAATAAAACACAGTGTCACAACAGTAGATCAAAGTCAGCAGCAACATCCCTATCCAGAAATTCCCTATAATGATAAAAAATCTGGCCTAACAAATATTTCTTAACTACAGACTTGAATCGCTGAGCTGTCAACTCTCTTACAGAGACAGGCAACTTATTATAAAAGACAGGAGCAAAATAAAGTGTTGCATTCCTTGATGTTCCTAGTCTGAGAAAATTAATCCTAATATTGTCGCGATGTCTGGTATCATGATGGTGTGTTTCACCCAGAGCCGCGAAATTATGCAAATTACGGTGCATGTACAGTAGGCAGTCATAAATGTATTGTGATGGTACTGTTAGAATCTGAAAATCACGATAAAACTGTTTGGGGTCATCTCGATATCCGACATGAGCCAGAACTCTCACTGCCCTCCGCTGCAAACCAAACACTCTAGAGGCATGAGCCGAATGTCCCCAGGCTAACAGAGCATAACAAATGACGGAATGGACCAGAGCATGGTAGGCCATTAGAGCGACACTCAAATTGGTGGTCCTACACAGATTTCTAAGTACATATATTCCAGATGTAATTTTCTTGGAGATATGGTTTACATGGCACTCGAAAGTAAGTTTGGGGTCAAGCATGACTCCCAGAAATTTTATCTGAGTAGGATTACTGATCTCTTCATCTCGTCTTAAGGTAAAGGTTATATTCTCGGTTTTGGTTTGATTGAGAGAAAGCCCATTGGCAAGAAACCAGTCACCCACACTCTCGGCACAGTCGCTCGCTTCCTCACACAAAGCGTTGAACTCCCCCTTAGCCACCAAGAAGCTGGTATCATCCGCATACAGTGTCACCTCGCTGTGCTGCAGCGCAGATTTTATATCATTTATGTAGATTATGAAAAGCAAAGGTCCTAGTATGGAACCTTGGGGGACCCCATGTAGCATCACCCTACTCT